ATATATATATATATATATATATATATAAAAGACGGTATGTATAATTTTGTACATAATTTAAATTTTTTATACATAATGTGTACAAATATTACATAAACTCACATCCCAACAATTTTTTACCGTCCAAACTCCGCATCTTTAACGTTCAGACTCCGAATAATTTCTCCACAGGTAGATGGGAGATTATTGGGTCCAGACATGGGACACAACTTACATTCAGTACTTCATAGTACCGAGCAGTATTGAGCTCGGTACTGTGAAGTACTGAGTATCGAGCAGTACTGAGCTCGATACTAAATAGGAGATGATGTAGCACATTTTTATTGGCTCCAAACGGCATCAGGTAACCGGACCTTCCCTTTGTAGATACTCCGTTCCCAGAAAAAAAAATTATAATAATAAAAAAAAAATAGTTTGCAGTCCACCACAAATTTTATGTTCAGACGTCTTGCAAGTTTTGTACTTGTCTTCCTAAAACGTTATCTGCTATCATCCTCTACTCGTATAAAGCACACCCGAAATCTTTTTTTTTTTGGGAAAATTGGGGCATCGCCCGTATATTAATATACCAAAAAAGAGAGGCTTACAAAAAGGAGCCTAGACTGAGAAAAGAAAAACCCAAAATACAATTTCGATAGCCCAAAAAAAAACAATCAGAAGTAAACGCTAAACCCAAAACAAAATTGATAAATAAAGGCAAGGGGCTCAGAAAAACAGGAACCCGCTCTGGGCAACAATATCCCTCAGGTGAAAGGTCAGGTGCCCAAATAAAACTGATCCAACCAGCAGAAAGTTACCCCGGTTGCCAAGAAACAACAGCCCAAGACGGTAAAGCAGGGTGCAGAATTGTCGTGCCAAGCCAGAATGCGAAACCGCGAGAGCAGCAAACGTTGGCCGTCCAGAGGGTAACGAGCGGGAACCACTCATCATCGCCCCGTAATGCCCCATGAATCCATATTTCCATTAAAACAAGTAGGGAACGTAGCACGGAGCACCTCAGAGGATTTCCAGTTATAAACTTTGAGAGAAATAGCCCAAGTGATCTTTTTAAGCATCCCAGGAATAGTCATAGTAGTGCCCGAGAATCTCCTATCATTTCTTTCTCTCCACAAGAAGTAAATGACACAACATACGACAAAATAACAAAAATTCTTCTCCACCGCATTAAAGATGCTAATATCATCCAGAAATTCAAACAGCTGGAAAAGTGAAGGTCTAAGAAGAAAACAGTTGAGTATCGGCAACAGCCCAGCAAGCACCTCAAAAGAGAAGTTACAGAGGAAGAATAAATGAGAAGAGCATTCCAGTTCCCGTAAACAAAGAGGGCACATGGGATCAATGTATATATGCCTCAAAGCTAAGACATCAGCTGTCTTAAGCCCATTTTTAATCAAGAGTCAAGAGTAGGAAGAGAACCTAAGAGCAGCTCTTTTATGCCATATATATTTAGCCCAAGAAACTTCCGGTATCCCCTTATAGTAATTAAGCCTAAAAGCTTTAAAAATAGAAGTCTTATTGTTAATCCTTGATTTCCAAGAAAGTGGCGCCGTATTTTCATCAGTAAGAGGGATACCAGAGATCAAATCCTGCACATCTTTAGGTATAAATTAGGTAAGCACCAAACACCACCTTGTAAATAAAACCTGAAACTATCGGGCAAACCAAAGAGAGGAGAGAAAAAGTCCGCAACACATTTCCCCCCAAGCCATGGATCCCAAAAAAATGATAAATTGCAGTTAAAGGAAGAAACTACAAGATGACAGTTCTCTTTGATCAAACCAGCAATGCCAATAATGAACTTCCAGAATTTGGAAGTTTTAGCAGAGGAGGATTTCCAAGGGCAAGTATACTTGGCTTTACACCAGTCAAAAACCAGAGCAGAGAAATTATACATTCTCCAAATAAAAGAACATCCGAAACCATGGTAAAGGGACTGGATACTAGAGATCCCAAGCCCTCCAAAACAAGTTGGAAGACAGGTATTCTTCCAAGCAACCAAATGTAGTTTCTTTCCTTCAGTAGTCCCATGATAAAGAAATCTAGCACAAAGCCTATCAATCAATTTGATGTAGGTTTTAGGTATAATAGATCTCCTAATCCAGTATGCCAATGTGTATGCAATAGTGAATCTCAAGTAATGAATACGACCTGCAAAAGAAAGAAATTTTACTTTCCAACCATCAAGTAGAGAGAAAATCCTGCTCATGAGTGGTTGGAAGTGAGAAGAATTGAGTTTTTTAGTGGAAATTGGGAGCCCCAGGTATTTGAAAGAGTGTTCAAAGAACTTAAAACCCAAGATATGGGCAATATCATTTTCCAGAGAAGTATTGGTGGAGAAGAGGATAGAACATTTTGCATTATTAGTGTGCAGGCCAGAAGCATAAGCAAAATCCATCAGAAATTTATGAAACTCCCAAGCATTCTGAGTAGAAGCCTCCCCAAAAACAAGCACATCATCTGCGTATAAAAGGTGATTAAGGGAGAAGGGTCCACAAGGGAAACAAGTAAAGTTCCTGACGTCAAGGGAGCAAGAAAAGACGTCCATGACTATTGCAAAAAGAAGAGGGGACAAAGGACAGCCTTGTCTCAATCCAGCCGAAGAAGTAAAAAATCCCTCCATATCACCATTAACACAAACAGAGAAAGGAACCTCATTCACACAGCTTTTTATCCAAGATATGAACTTATCCGGAAAACCCTTCACCTTTAATCTGTAAAACAGGAATTCCCAGGACACATAATCGAAAGCTTTCCGAATGTCCAACTTAGCGCAAAAATATTTTTTTGTTGGGGACAGCATTAAAACAATTCAAGATCTCATTAGCCAAGATAATGTTATCAGTTGAAATCCTCTTAGAAATGAAACCAGATTGGCTCTTGTGAATGATAAAAGGCATAACACTTTTCAGGCGATTAGCAATAATTTTGTAAAAAACATTGCAGAGAAAAATCAGACGGTAATCAGAGATGTTGGTTGCATTTTGGTGCTTGGGTATAAGAGAAATAGCTGTAGCCTTAGCACATCTGGGAAGGTGCCCCTCTTTGAAAAAATTTTTAACAGCATTAGTAACATAAAACCCAATAACCTCCCAAGAAGTCTTGAAAAATTCGAAAGTGAAGCCATCCGGACCCGGAGAGGAGGAAGTAGGTCCGGAAAAAACCACTTGTTTGATCTCCAAATCAGTGACAATTGCAATTAAAGATCCCAAAAGATGTGCATGAATAGTGTTTCCAATAGCAGCAAAATATTGAAGATAACTAGAAGATGAGGGCACAGGATTGTAAAGATTCTTAAAGTGTGTTACAATAGCTCTAGCAATATCAGACGGAGTGGAAAAATGTCCTTCCTCAGTAATTATCTCCTTGATTTTGGAAGAGTTAGCCCTAGCCTTAATGCGGGCATACAAAAATCCTAGATCATCTTCACCACTCCTTAGCCATTTAACTTTAACCCGTTGCGTGATCCAGGAACTCCAAGCATCATGCATTAAAGAGATATTAGCATTAATATCCCTTAAACAAGTGTTAAGATGCAAATCCATGGGATGACATTGAAGGAGGTCCAAACAAGCTTGTTGCTTCTGGTGCAACTCAACAATTTTTGTTTTAATAGATATATCCTTAGCCCATTTCCCCTGTTTGAGATGTAATTTAAGGTCTCTAAGCTTACCATAGAGGTTGGAAATGGGGCTACCATCATGATGTGTGGCAAAAGAAGTAATGAGAGTATCCAAAAAATGATCCATCTTTAACCAAAAGTTCTTGAATTGGAATCTGTTATTCTTCTGAGTGAACCCACCCGAAAAAAGGATGAGTGGAGAATGATCTAAGCAATTGTGAGGAAACACTTTGTAGTAAGAGAGGGGGAAGCAATCCAGCCACTTTTGGTTAATCAACATCCGGTCAAGCTTAATGTGGATAGGATCGTCAATTTTGCCATTAAACCAAGTGTACCTCAAACCAATGGATTTTAAATCCAAAACCCCAGAGAGAAAGGCCCAACTATTAAATTCCCCCAGCCTAGAGAAGTTAACAGGTAATCCCCCAGATTTGTCTTTAACATCACGGTAACAGTTGAAGTCTCCCATAACTATCCAGGGAGAAGAAATATTATCGGCCAGGCAGCCGAGCTCATGCCACAAAGACGATCTCTCAGAGTGAGTGTTTGCTGCATAGACAACAGTGAGTAAAAAAGGAGGCAAAGCTCCAAAACAAACCGACCCATGAATGAACTGGGTGTTAAGGAGATGGGATTGAAAGAAATGGAGGAGGGATTCCATTTCAGCCAGATCCGACCAAGGGAAGAGGGGGGGGGGGGAATTAATACAGCTTTGCTCGTTCGAAAAAACTTGGGTATTAATGAACCAGGGGTCGACAAGAGATGGAGCAGCAATTTTGGCTTCAAGAATACACACCCGAAATCTCACTTGCATTCAATTAAGGCAAAATTTTTAAAAGGAGCATATAAAACTTTTAGGGATAGAAGCAGAGAAAAATAAAAATTTAGAAAGGAGCATACAAGCGACGGAGTTTCGCATTTTGTGTAGAAAACGCAAAGCAAGATTTCGTTTTCCTAAGAAAATGCGATCGAGTATTGCATTTTCTATAAAAAATGCAAATGTGGTTTGCGTTTTGAATGAAAATGCAAGGCAGATTCGCGTTTTCTTCATTGGCGGACCCCACGTGTGAAAAATCAGGCGGAAATGAAGATGGCGTGGCTTCTTTTGGCACGCGGACCCGGCGAGAATGGGAGAATAATCACGGATGGCTTTCCCGTGAATGAGCAGGTCCTCCGTGAAGCACCCAGCCAAAGCAAACTTTTTTTTTTTAAATGGTGTATCTTGCCTATAAATAAAGGGAAAATGGAGAAATAAACGGTTGCTTATTTGAAAGTGAGTTTAAGGGAAACGCTGCGCAAAAAAAAAGGTTAGTATATAAAGTTTTTTTTAGATATTATAATATGCAAGTAACAAATTTTTTTTCATATTGCTGAATTATTTTGTTTAAATATGTGCATATTATTGTAGTTTTTTAAGAAAATTTGTTGAAAATTTGAAGGAGAAAAGCTAGATCTAATTGCACTGTTCTTAATTTTGGATACATGATCATGTTCAAACCTACAGGCTAAATCTGAATGCATTTATAACAAATAATTGAGAAAATGAACTTTTTGTAGAAAGAGAGAGAGAGAGAATAAGAATGAGAATATGAGATGAAGTTCAGATGTTGTCCCACACAAACTCAGCTCCAACGTCGTGTACGATTCTTACTGCAGAATATGTAACAATAAGAGTAATGTTTTTTTAGCTACATATTATTATGTAGGATTGTGCTCGTGATGAATATGTCATTTTGTAATATTTCATTTTGTGTAATGACAATTTCTAATTATTATTGAGCTTCTATTTTCTTTTATGACCGATAATTTCTACATAGTGTTACTGAATTTCTAATTTTAATGGTAACTTAATTTGCATTCTCTAAATATATCGTATTTAAATTTATGTACATGTCCTTCACCGAAGAGTGTGGGAGAGAGAGGAACAGAGGTAGAGGTACACAGAGTTTGTTAATTACTTAGCCTTCCTCTCGGTGAACAACCAACTTTATCATCTCAAATCTCAATAGACTACTAATGACTCACTCCTAAAATTCATTATACAATATTAATAGATTACTCATTCATAATATAAAAAATTATAAAGTAACATACTTAAGTATTTAACTTTAATACTTTAGTAATGAATTTTTAATTAATTTTATACATAAATAAAGTATATTAAATATATATTAATTAAACTATACTAAATTTAATTGTTATAATTATGATTAATAATTTAATTTCAATTAATTTTTAATTTTGCATTAATAATTTTTTAAAAAAATTATAAATGACATTTACAAATTATAATTTTTCTTATTAATATTATTTCAATTTCTCATCAAATATAATTTTTTTAATATTACATTCTTTTACATTAAATATTGCCTTAATTTTTTACAAAGAAAACGGAAAGCCTTAATTTTTTACGAAGAAAACTGAATGCACATTTGAAAAATTTTTTTATTCATTAAAATTATTTATAACTATAAACTTATACTTGTAATTATTTATAACTATAAACTTATACTTGTAATACATATATATTTCTTAATTCAATGCAATTTAATTTTTATAAATTTATATAATTTGTAAACATTAACTTTTACTTATAAGTTATAACACATACTTTTACTAATCATATTTCTATACATTAAATCAAATATATTTTTTATATTTTAAGTCATTTGTAACAACCACATTCCCGTCCACTAAATTAATTTTTTTATATTTTACATGACCTGAAGAAAACGCAATATATGATTGCATTTTCTTGCAAAACGCACACCTGATTTGCGTTTTGTGAAAAAAATGCAAAGCAGGATCGCATTTCGAAAACGCAATACCTGTTCACATTTCTGCTTCTTTTTAAATTTAATTAATTTCATGCTCATACTCTTTAAATATTTAACAACTTTATTCTTTTAAAAATTTTGCCTTCAATTAATGCTTTTCCGACTTTTCCTTCCATTAATGAGCACACGTTCATTCTTTTCAGAAACCAATAGGCCATCTCATTTAAATCCCCTGCCACTTCGAGAAAAAGGAAACCGGAACCTTCCGTTTTTCCTCGCTATAAGACGCAGAGTCTTCCCTGTTTTCTTCATGAAAAGGGAGATGAAAGGAATAGAGAGGAAGCTTAGAGTGGGCGAGTTGGCGATGAGACTGGCGACGTTTGGTTTTGCGGTGACAGCTTCTGCTCTTGTTGGAAGCGATAGAGAAGTGAAGATGTTCTTTTCTTTGGAGAAAAGGGCTAAGTTTACAAACTTGAAGGTTTTGGTGTAAGATTCATGAAACCTTTGAGGGATGATTTAAAGTTCGTATCTTTGTTTGATATTTGTGATAAATTTATGGTTTTTGGCTCTCTTTTTCCCCTTTTTTTGTCGGGGATTTTCAGGTTTTTGGTGGCGGCTAATGGGATATCAGCTGGGTATAACTTGCTGCAGTTGGTGCGGTGCTTTGTGAGGATGATGACGGGAGGTGTTTTGTTTGGAAAGGGCTTTGCTTTTGTTGTGTTTTCCTGTGATCAGGTGAAGGAAAATCTGAAATGTTTCATTGTTTACTTTTAGAAATCTTTATTTGTTATTCCTTTTTTAAGATTTTGTTTTGTCTGCTTTCTTTGTTCATCATTTACTGCTTATTTTCTTGTAGGGTAGAATAGTTATATACTCGTACCGCTTCTCCCTCCCTGAATTAATGAAGTTACCACCGGTTTTACAGTCTAACAATGGAGTTTTTGTTTGCGATGAGGTAATAGGCATCAGGATTGTAATTAACACTGCCAGCCGCCGACCACCGCCTCCATCGCCGCATAAATAAACAAAAAGACCATATATTTTAAATATCTGATAGATTTTATGTTTAAATTAAGAAAATTACACAAAGTCAGGAGCTTTTATCATGCATTATTAATGTTAACATATGGTGATGAAATATGCATAAAGGCTTAAACTTGAAAGTTGCAGCCTAAGAATAACTTTTCTATTCTCTTTTTTTTTTGGACATGTAGACCAATTAAGACAAACTCACACACACATCACATACGCATTACTCGAACCCAAGACTTCTTAATTTGTAGCTAAAGCTCCCAACCAACAGACCACATAGTGAGTTGCATAACTTTTCTATTGTAAGATACATATTCTCAAGCAAATTTACTTTAGCTAGAAGAAGCACAATGTAAGGCGAAATTATTACGTGTGGTCACTAGATGCCGTCCGGAGGCAAATTAGGACACACCACATCACTAATTTACTATGTACCGTTACTGTGTATCAATGAGTATCGGATGACGTAGCCCGACGGCCCGATGACCATGCGTAATCATTTCTCCAGTGTAAGACATTTATATGTTATCGTCATCATCATCATCATCATCATTATTAGCCTTATCCAAATTATATTTGGTTGACTTTATAAATCATCATTCTCCATTTTTTCTTGTTAAGGTTGCTTTAGGTGTTAAGCCTCAATGAGAAACGATGAGTATTGATGTTAAATTGATACAAAATTTTACCATACATTTTGTTATGTACTTAGAAAATAAACAAGAGGAAATGATGCCTAAAATGTTTTATCTATGACTAAATCTTCTATTGGTTATTCTGTTGTAAGTATTGTTAATCTACCATGCTAAATGTTTAAAGGGTGGCAAATTTATTATCTTTCAAAGCCATCATGACCTTCTATTTTAAGAGTGCCATATCATGTAATTGAAATTCTAGAAAATTATTTTTTCATAATCTTCATAACCATCATCTCATGCAAATGTTTTTGTTATTTTTTTTTTATTTAAAGTTGTCATCTTCTGTTACTGTAATCCTGAAAATATAATGTTTTCCATGCAACTATCCATAAACAGAGTTAAATTTGTTGCCATCACCGTTTAAAATCACCGGTAAATCACGATGGCATGCAAACAAATTGTTTAAAATCCCTTTAGTTAGGCTTTATTTGGGACGGATTTCTTATTGTTTCTTATAAAAATTAAAAATTTTGTACTACAAAGTTGCTTTAAAAAGCAGTAAGAAAGACATCCCAAACGAAGCCTATTCTTTGAGAAATTTCACATGCAAGAGTACATCAAATGCTGACGGTTATCTGTGTTAGATGCATGAAATGTTACAATTTAAATAATTTAAAATATTATTTGTATGTTGTGCTTATTTACTATGTGGACCATTCTATTGCCTCTTTTGCTCATTTTTTACTTAATGAATTAATGTGGAGTTGCAAGTGAACATGTGCAGGATTTCCAACAGCTTGCTTTCTTAGCTTTCCATTAAGTTACAATGTCTGTTTGCTAAAGAGGAACTTTATCATAAATGACATTACCAAACCTACTTTTGATGCTATTTTTTAGCAAAAGAACTGACAAGCTTAACAGCTTGTCTTTTCTCGAATAGGCGGAAGGTCGGCAACAAACGGAAAGGGTCGGTATGAGTTTTATGATTATTGAATCCGTTCTGAGGATTGTAATGCAAGAGTGATTAATTAGTTATATCTTACACTCATCTCAAATCAAATTTACCGTTTTGTCTCGTGGCACTCTCTTGTATTGTCAAGAAGCTACTTTGTATGTTGAATGATTTCTATTTTGCTCTTTAAAGCTTCATGAGAGACGAAATGCCAACTGCATTTGTTGCTATGCAGTGGTTGAAAACTTAGTCCTAAGAAGCTGCTTTAAGAAACAGTAAGCCTTTATCTTTATTTACAAGATAGGATGAACTATTTTCTGATGAGGATCAAAACCTGCAAGGAAGAAATAACAAGACAAACAAGAGATAGAACAGTGATTCTATATTGTAAATTAAAAACTGCCGGCCTCTTCTTCTACAGTTTGCTAATATACCTATCTTCCCTTCCCCCTTTCGGCATTCCCAAACGGGGACTGAAAACAAAAAGTAGAAAGTCTGTCTAACTAACTAAGCAAATTAACTAGTGGCCACATGCTGATAACGGTATAACAAAAGAAAGTGCTAGTAAGATAAAATGCTCCTCAGGCGAACTATAATAGTGATGCACCACATCATTTTCTTTGTTTAGAGAATCTTAGAGCTATTATTATTTTTGTTCACAATAAGATCAAATTATATGGAGTTCTCTAAAGACCTCTCATATGATAGAAAGAAGAACAGTTCACAGAAAACACAACAATAATTTTACATAGGGTCACCCAATTAATCGCTATGTTCTAATCCCATCACCATAGATTTTATTATAGTTTCAAACCTGAAGCTTTTATGCTCGTAATATCTTAAATATCAACAAAAGAACCCTCCCCCCCGTGCTATTCCCAAAACAACTTGGAAATATTGAAAACATCGACATATACTAAAACTTCATTTGGGACGGCTTTATTGCTGCTTTCTAAAATAGTTTTCTAGTATAAAAATTAAAATTTTTGTATTAAAAAAAAGCAGTAAGAAAGCCATCCCAAACGAAGCCTTATTGAGTTTTCATAATTTTTTCTTCAGAGGTTAGTTAATCAAATTAAACTCCACAACTAAACATGTTTATCCTAATTATTATGTAGATTATAGCTTATGTGGCTTTATCGGCAATGGCAGCAGCAGCTCAGGCTGCTTTTCTAGCACTATTTGGCCAGCAGGAGCTTCACTGGATGAATATATGCAACGTCTACAGTAGGTTTTGTAGACAGGCAGGGGAGGGAATAGCCTGTGCTTTTATAGCTTGCTTGGCCATGATAATCATTTCCTGCATCTCTGCTTTCAACTTCTTCAGGCTTTATGGAAGTAATAAAGGCCGTAAGAACAGCCATGGGAGGTGATAGTTCTTTCTGTCAGTTTCTGAGCTGAAAGTCTCATTTTATAGCCTTTTTTATTTGTCTTACTTTTAATAAATTCCTGTTTTTTATGGTAAATTAAACCTGATGCTTGCTTTAATTATCGCGTTGAATTGATTGTAATCTAGTTAGAGATGAAAAATGTTAATTGTGTATGAAAACAAAGATGAAAAGCTGGTTTGTAATCTACGTTACGGTTTCGTTTGGGACGTCTTTCTTATTATTTTTTTTAAACAGCTTTTTAATAAAAAAAAATATAGTTAATGAAATTTTTTTTCTAAAAACTGTTTTAGAAATCATTAAGGAAGTTTTACTAAACAAAGCTTAAATCTGTTTTTCAAAATGGTTATGAATGTGTTATGTGCTTTTGGTTTTGTTATGTTACTGTGGAATGCTACTATCAATTTTTTGTTTGGTATTCACTTATTATTATTATTTTTTTCTTTTTCTTTTTTTTTTTATTTTTTATTTTTGGCAAACTGAAAGAGTTTAATCATCATGTTAGTATATTGTTGAATTTCAGTTGAAAGCTTACAAATAATGGTAATTTGGCATTGTTTCTTAATATATTATTATTTTTTTAATAAGGGCTTATGTACTAGCTTTGATATGGATACAACGACAACAAGTCTTTATCTTACTATGTGGGGGTTGGTTATATGAATTTTTTTTTCTCCATTGTGTCATATTAAAAGTCAAATTCACAACTAAGTACTTTTAGGTCTATTTATACCATTCTTAACATAAGTTAAATCTAATACATATACTTTCCTAACCGGTTTATCAAATGGCTGTTGTTTTATGTGACCAAATCATATAAGGCAACTCTCTCTAATCTTATATTCCACTAGAGCTACTCCAACCTTTTCACGTGTATGCTCATTTCGTATCCTGTCTCTAAGAGTAAATTCACTCGTCCACTTGAGCATTCTCATATGTTTAACACTTAACTTAATATTATGCTTATGTTTTAATGATCAACATTTTACACCATAAAGCATTACATGTCTCACTACTATCTTATAGAATTTTCTGTAAGTTTTAGAGGGATTTTCCATCACACAACAGGCTTGATGCATTCTTTCACTTCAACCATCCAACTTGAATTCTACTAATATTATCTCCATCTATTTCATCATGACTCTAAACAATAGGCTCAAGATATCTAAAACATATGATCTTATTAATGACTTGATCATCCAAAGTCACAATATCCCCACTAATTTTGATATGGATAATTTTTAAAAAATTAAGCTAAGGGGTTGTTTGTAAAATTTTAAAATAAAAGGTCAAATAATTTATTAAGAAAAAAATGATGTGAGAATATTTTAAAACAATGTTCATCTTGTTTAATTTAATAAGTATTGCAAAAATTATATTAAGAAAATTTTTAATAATCAAGCTTTAACATATATATGGCATGTTATTTTATTTTATGGTACTTTATCTTATTTATTATTAATTATGACATAATAGAGATTAATAATTTAACAAATAGTATACTAAATTATGGAGTCAAAAGGTGAAACAAAAATTTGCATGAGAATTTATTTTTTTAAAATAATTGTAATGAGTTAAATATTATAAATTAGACAAGTTAGTTGCGAATGGCAATTTGTAATTATGTTGCAATTATGTGCCTTTAGACATCCTATTTTGAATGGAATAATTCTAACCTAAGAAGAATATTATTGGATCTCTTAAAAAAAACAATTTGTTGAGAGAGAGAGAGAGATGCTTTTGTGACATCCTATTTATAAGTGAAAATCCATGATTAATACTACAAAATTGGTAATTTTATGCAAATACATAAAATGATATTTGTTGATATTCTTATAGCTAGTTGTGTAATGGGTGAGTGCCCCTGATAAGTTAGAGACATGTCCAAAAAAGACGTCAACTTTTATAACGAAAAAGAGTTTAAAAAATACCTCGTGAGTACTATTAAAAAAATTGTGGTGCTTCAAGTGATTCTTGGTGAGTAGACTCAATAAGTTGAAGAGTATTTTATACGAGTACTATATGTGAGTGAACAATTGATAGTCTCTTCTTCAAATTCAACGGTGTAGTTCTAATGACTAAGTTGAGACTATATGTGGTCTTAAGCTTTTATATGGAGGTTTTCACATAGTGGTTCAATCCCTTAGTGGTTCGTCAAATCGCATTCCCAACAACTCCGTTTTTTTTTTTTTCATTTTTCTACTGTTTTGAGAAAGCTTTTTATATATGATTCTCCGTTAGAAAACTCCATTTTCTAAACCAATATTTTTTAAAACTGTCTTTTACAAAATCAACAAAAAACCAAATGAAGCCTTAGTGGTTAAAAGATTTGCGTGGCAACATAAATAAAGAGTAATAAAAGCAGAAAGATCTTATTAGAACATGTGGACTCGAAATAACTATAGATTCTTGTTTGTGAACTGTTACACAAAATCCTCAAGACGTAATGGTGGTCCTCTCTCCCTACTTGGACGACTCACAGGTTGTCGTTGTATATCCTGACTGTAACAGATCTTGTGGCATTGTGTGCCCCCACAAGCCCCCCTCAAAGGGAAAAAAAATTTAATTTTTTTTTTAGTTTTTATATTATTATTATTATTTATAAAAATAGAATTATAGGTAATCACATTTATTCTATTTATCTCCTTATAACACTGACTTCAATGTTGAAATCATTTATATTTGCATAATATAATCAAAATTTGGTCATGATAAATTAAAAAAATTATAATTAATCCA